GAAGATGACACTTGTATTTCCTAAGAACTTTACCATTATTAAGACAGTTCAAAGGAGTATATGTAGATAGAAGACATGGATGTGAGTTGATTGTGATGGGATGATTTAAAAAATAAAATTACAGGTGAGAAAGGGGGATGCTTTGGGAGAAGAGGAAAGGGAGAGGTAGAATGGGGTAAATTATCTCACATAAAAGAGGCATGAAAGGAAGAGCTTTTACAGTGGGATGATGGGAGGGTTGGGGTGGTGGGCAACACTTGAACATTACTCTTATTAGAATTGGCACAAAGAGGAGAATATCCACTCAGTTGGATATAGAAATCTATCTTGCCTTACAGGGAATTAGGAGAGGAAGGGAATAAGAGAAAGAGAGAGGCTGATAGAAGGGAGGGTAGATTAAAGGAGGCAGAGGTCAGAAGCAAAATAGAAAAAACAATTAAGCAAACACATGCAATACAGATATCATACCTTGACCTTGTATACAATATTCTGTACTAGTAGTCACCTACCTTTTTTTCGTTAAGGAGGAATGCTTTATTTTCTCTTCTCCTTGATCTTCATTAGCTTTTTCCATTCCTCAGAGTTTAACTTCCTTTTAGTGACCTGTTGTCCGTCATTGTGTATATTGTTCTCTTGGTTCTGTTTTTTCCCTGTGCATCAGTTCATACAAATATTCCCATATTTCTCTAAATTCCTTAAATTTGCATAGTACATTAATAGTACTTATAGTACAATAATATTCCATTAATTTTATATACCATGGTTTTTTTATGTCCTACACAGTATATTGCCATCTACCTTGTTTCCAGTTCTTTGCTATCACAGAGTGCTACTATGAATATTTTGTTAATATATTTGAACTTTATTTTGGTGTAGTTTTGTTTTTGGTTTGATTTCCTTGGAGCATATGCCCAGTAGTGAGATTGTGGAGCCAAAGGGATCAGTTTACTAACTTCTTTCTTTATTCCAAATTGAAGTCTAGAATAGTTATTTAACAGTCATATTTGGCACAAATATTTTTCACACTCTGCTCTTTTTCTCTTAATTCTACCTTCAATAAATTTGTTTTTGCAAAACTTTAAAATTTTTTTTTAAATTTACATAATTAAAATTGTAGCTAAAATTTTATAACCTCCATCCCTTCTTTGTATGGTTAAGAATTTTCCCTATGGTCAAAGTTGTGAAAGGTGCTTCATCTTATTTTCATTTTTTTTAAATGAGTAAACTTTTATATTTAGGTCACATCCATTTTTAATTTATTTTGGTATGTTGTGTAAGGCATTGGTCAAAACTAAATTTCTGCCAAATTGCTTTCCAATTTTCCAAATATATCTTTGTCAAAAAGGGAACCTTTCCCCTAATGAATAGCATTTATCAAGTATTGGACTACTGTTGTTGATGATAACTGTTTTTGTCTACCTAGGCTGTTCCACTGATCTACTTTTCTGAGTTTTTTCCTAAGGAGTATCAAATTGCTTAGAAATTAGATGTCTGATAATTATATGCACCCTTCAATCATAGTTTTTCTCTTTATCTTGAAGTACTAGACTTTTTGTTTTTCCAAATGGATTTTGCATTTTTCTAGTCCTAGTAAAGTGTCATCTTCATAATTCAATCATTGATTCATATTTTTAATGGCATGAGGGCTAATGAAAGCATTTTGCATTTGTCATTTTTATGTATATATTGCAAATTCTAGTAAAGGTTTGCAAATTTAATAAAGGTTTAAAGTAAGTAGTTTTTTTAAAAGCACAATGTCCCCTCCCCCATCAAAAGTAGAAATCCCTCAATTTTTGTTTTAAATTAATCAAATGATGGGCAATAGGCCAATTTACAAGAAATCTAGTAGTAACAAAGTCCTTAAATGGCTCCTAAAAAAGACATCACGCTCTTGCTAAAATAAAAATAATGATTTTTGAGAGCAAATAGTTATAACAATTTTGAGTCCATAAACACTTTAAATTTCAAACTAAACATTTGAGTTTGCAGAGGGAAGAATTGGCTTATGCCTAAGTTTTGCCAAAGATGTTTTTGATTTATAAATTGGTTTGTCAAAGATTTGGGTGTGTTCTTTGCAGAAATCAGAAATTTTGAAAAGCAATTATTTGAGAACAACTTTTTATCATGCTGTGGAAATGAATTTATGACCAGTATATTTGCATTTGTAATACGCTGGAAAATATGATTTATTAGTCCTATTTTAATGAGCATTTTAGAGTATCAGACTATATAGATTATATCTGAACTTCTTTGCTAGTTATGAACATGAATGTGCTTGCTGAAAGTAGAAGTTGACTCAGGTGGGTTAAAAACATAAATTCTGTTGACTTGTGGTATCACAGGTGAAGTAATAAGATCTTATTTAAATGCAAAGTTTTGTTCTATATGTTCTCTATAGATTAGAAGGGGTGATTGCCATTCATGGAATTGTACATATGACATACTTGAGTGAGATGCTGAGGAAAAGTGATTGTTAGTTCTGTGGTAGAAGAGAGTTTATCTTGTTGTTGGCCAGACCCTCTGAGGGCACTCTGGCTTTAGGGTTAAATACTACAGCTGAATAAAAGGAACTTCCTGATTGAGATTTATTACTCATCATTGTTGTCCATTTTTCTTTTGTAGAAATGAATTTCTGTAAAGAGAAAATATGTAGTTTTTATGCTATTAACTAGGAGATGTAAAATATAAGTCAGTAAGAAAAGTTAAGTTAAAATGCAGTGTCATAATTTATATTAATTTTTTATAACAATATAGGTTTTGCAGTACTGATTTTCAATGTACTTTACTTTTTAAAAGTTTTAAATTAGGCTTTTTTTTGAAACAACGTGGAAGTTTTTTTTTTTTAGCACTTTAAGATTTTAGATACTGTTTAAGGTTATAAATACCATTAAGAGGGGGGACATTAAGACTATATCTCATCCTTGAAGAATTGTTGAAATTGAACAGTTGTGTAGGTTTTTCAAGGTGATGTTCAACAGGGATTATCAGTGTAATGGTTTATGGGCCCCAATTTGATTTTACTAATAGCTGAAAAGGCTATCTTCCTTCTGTGTGGTGGTTTTTTTTTTTGTTTGTTTTTGGCAATCGGGGTTAAGTGACTTGCCCAGGATCACATACCTAGTACGTGTCAAGTGTTTGGTCTGATGCTGGATTTGAACTCAGGTCCTCCTGACTTCAGGGCCAGTGCTGTATCCACTGCGCCACCTAGTTGCCCCCTGTGTAGTTTTCCTGGAGACCAATAAGCCTATGAAAAGAGACTTCTTGTTTGAATAGTTCCTTCTGGTACCTGAGCCTGACTCCTTGGACCAAGGAATGGCAGAAGAGAGTGAGCCCCCAGGTCTCTTAGTAGAAAGATTTTTTCCCGTTGTTCGACATAGTTTCCAACCCTTTAAGAATTGTCAGCCCACTCTTGCTACTAACTTCCTTCTCTTCTTCTGGCACAGCTTTCACAGCTCAGTTGTAAGTTACAGACCACTGAACTGCTACTGGGATGGGGGATTGGTGTCAGGTACTCAAAGCTTGTGGAAACCTCTTGGGCTAGGAGTGTGTCATGAAGTCAGAGAACTAATGAGACAAAATTACATTGAACCTAATGTGAGGTAAATGCCTAATTAAATGCTTATTGAATTTAGTAGAATTAGTGTAGAATTTTAGAAAATAAAAATATCATTGAGTGATATCTTGGAAGACGATATGTATTTTGAAAGTTATGACGTGCATCATCTTCTACAGATGCACAGTCTGCTTACTAGTTAGAATCATAGACTTTTAGAGCTCTGAGGAACCTTAGGGTTCATTTACCAACTTCTTATTTTACAAATGAAGAAACTGAGGTCTAGAAATGTTAGTAGTATTTGGATCTCTTTTAAGCAGGAGTTTTTGTGTTATTTTGAATACCTCTGTGATACATGACTGTTTTTAGCATTTTAAATATAGGCAGTATACCTTTATGGTATTGTATGCATATACATATTTGTATATATTTGAAAATCGTATTTCTTTTTGTTCCAAATTCAACAAACACCAAATATAATGAGCGTTTCCATATACAAAGTAGAACAGAAAAAAAAGGACTGGAATCTCTTGGCAGCTAGGTGGCGCAGTAGAGTGCCAGGCCTGGAGTCAGGAAGACTCATCTTTCTGAGTTCGAATGTGGCCTCAGACACTGACTAGCTGTGTGACCCTGGGAAAGTCACTTAACCCTCAGTTTGCCTCAGTTTCCTCATCTGTAAAATGAGCTGGAGAAGGAAATGGCAAGCCACTTCATATCTTTGCCAAAAAATGCCCAAATGGGGTCATGTAGAGTTGGATACAGCTGAAAAAACAACTGAACAACAAAATATGAATCTCTATGTATAACAACTTACTCTTTTAAGCATGTAATAAATTCAATATGTAATTTTCAAAACTGTTCTGCTTTTCCATTTTCCTCGTGGCTTTTACTTCTGGCCTCTCTTTACATAGGCTATTAATGATTTTTGTGCCCTCAGATGGACTGGTTTCATGGTTATCTCAGAGCATTCAGCAGCTCTTCTCTTAAGCTTTCGTTTCATGATGTCCTCAAAATCCTCTTATTATCATCCGAGTCTTTATTCTTGGCCATTCAGTAGCTGAATTGCTCATCATCCATCCTCCACATGTGTTCTGCTGCCTAGTGAATTTGTGTGGCAGTAAGCATAGTTTTTACTGATGACAGCCCAGGTCAATTCATATTCCTGCCCTAGGATGATAGGGATTTAAGCACCTGTCCTTCCTCTTGTTGCTTTGTAAATAGCTCTGACATTAATGGTAGAGTCAGTTATTCTGGATCTCTTCTTAATTGCACAAATTTAATCATCATATAACTTAAAAGACCCAGTAGAAAATCAGAAGTAATAACGATGAGAAAAATGCTACCAAACAGAATTTGCTGTCCTACATCATAATCTCAAATTGTTGCTAATGAACATTTATACTGAATTTTATTAAGAGTTATTTTCTTCTTTCTCTTTATTTGACAGGAATTACTAGGTTTGATCTTCTTGGAGATTTTGGAAGATTTAACTGGCTGGGGAATTTCTACATTGTATTATCCTACAATCTGCTGTTTGCCATTGTGACCACTTTGTGTCTGGTCAGAAAGTTCACCTCGGCTGTACGAGAAGAACTCTTCAAGGCCTTAGGTAATTTGGGTCTTGGAGGGGAGGGATGTGTGTGTTTATCATGCTGATTCAAGACCTTTTAGCTAATTTTAAATCTTCTGTAATCCAGAGATTACAGTGTATAAACCTTTTTGAGGTATCCAGCCAGGCCTCAAAGTACAGTCATTTTGCTTTTAGTAGAATATGACTACCATCATAAACGATATTCTTTATAAACTAAATCTAATTTTTTGGTTACTGGTTTTTGTGAAACTTGGGTTTGACCCAAATTAGGGTGATTTATACTTCAGGAATTTATATTTTATAATTTATACTTCAGGAAAGCTTGATTTCTTCAGTGTGTTTGGGTACTCTAACTCCTGATACAGAACCTAAGTTTGTTGTTTTGTTAGCTCCTTGGACAATTACTTTACTTGGTAGCCATGTTTCTTGTCCTTTTCCATGTTAATAGGCTGTGCCAGAGCTTGTACTCTGTTGCTCAGTGCACAGCCTTAAAGAGCCCAGGGTCATCCCCACACCCAGGTGCTGGGGGATGAGGAATAAATCTTTAGTGGTGGCAGCTGAACCATTATTCTCTACATGAAGCAGGGTAAAAATATAAGCATTCCGTTATCAGCTAGGGACAAAGCTCATCTTAGAGTGCAGGTGATTTGCCATTATTTGACTAATGATCCCTGTTAAAAATTGTCAAGAGCCTGGATTCAGGAAGTTCACATCTGCCTTCAGGTACTTTGTAGCTGTGTGACCCTGAGCTAGTCAATTAACCTCTGTTTGCCTCAGTTTCCTCATTTGCAAAATTGATATAATAATAATAGCACCTACTTCCCAGGGTTATTATAAGCATCAAATGAAATAATAATTATAGGGCACTTAGTACAGTGCCTTGCATAGAAAATACTATATAAATGTTAGCTAATATTATTGTTATCAAGGGTTTTTTTTAAAAATCTACTTCAGTAGAATCTATTGGTCATATCTATTTCCATATTGACTCCAGGTTTTGTTTTTTGTTCTCCATTTTTAATATTCTCAGAAGAAAAACTGAAGACATCATATCCCAAAGTATTATGAAGTAATAACAGCAACTGACATTTATGTAGCACTTTTAACAGTCGATAATGGGGAAATCTTTATTAAGGCCCTGGATCTGGAGACAAAAAGATGAAATGGAAAGCAGAACCTTAAAGAAATGGAAGGCTTGCCCCCCTTTAAGGCACAGGTGTACCTCATCATGGCTTTATGGATGAGGAAGCTGGTTAAGCGACTTATCCAGGCCTGCACCTGGTGGCAAGTGACTTACTTCTGAGATTGAGACCCATGTTTAGTTCAGTTCCCAGTTTGGTACTCACTTTTTCCACCCCACCCTGCAAAGTTGAGTCATTTCAGAAAATGCACACCTACATTTAACTTCAGTGGTAGGTGGCCAACCAGCTAATGTGTTTTTTGACCCAGAAATATTTAACAAGGAAGATCATTTTCCTCAGTACCTAGCATAGTGCCCGCCACATAGAAGTAATTTAATAAGTGTTTGCTGATTGATTGCATTAAATCATAAATCTAAGAAAAGCTTTCACCTTTGTTCCATTAAGCTGGTCCCCTATCCTTTCCTCTTATCCACTGACCCCTTTAGTTATATTTTTTGTGCATTGTAACAACAACTAATGGTACTTGGCTCTGTTCTCCGGCAAACTCCACTCACTTGCAGGAATCATCCACTCCATATATAGTTCATATCATCACTAAGCAATTTTACATTTTGTAATATTCCCTGCCCACCCTCCACCCTCCAAACAGGTATAGCCATTTCAAGAGTGAGAATTATTGGGCTTAAAATGGATTTCCTACCTTAGGAATGAAGGACTTTAGACAGATCATTTTGTAGATGAAGGATTATGCTAAGGAAGCCTCATAAAAGTGGTAAAATATTACTTAACTAAGATCAAAGGTATTCTGTGCTTATGTCAGCCTTTTGGATAAAGGGGGCAGCAGAATCTGTAAGAGTTGTGGGCAAACTAGGGTTCATGGTTTTTTTTTTAATTTTATATCACATTTCCAATTATACCTTTAAGCTTCTCATATATGCTGCTTTTAAATGTTGGATTCTGAATATGGTTACAACAGTAGCTGATTCATGAATTGTAATATTTGGCTAACTTTCTCCTAATTATTGGTTTACCAGAGCACTTTCTTTGTTTTTTGCTAGATACTGTTTTGATGTTATCTAAATTTTTGCAGACAAATATGTAAAACATTATTATAAAAAACAGGTCCTACAAAACATACCTAGATTTAGAAGTGGGATTTGTTTAAAAGAGCTTCCCTGGAGGAATGAGTTGCCTTTCGGTAGCTCTATGCTATCCTCATCCTAGATGATAGAGTGGATAGAGGAATGGGACTGAAGTCAGGAAGACCTGAGTTCAAATCCAGCCTTTGATACTAGCTGTGTAACTCTGGGCACATCACTTGACATCTGTCTAACTCAGTTTCCTCCTCTGAAAAATGGAGATAATAATAGCACCTCTCTTCCAAGATTGTTGTGAGGATCAAATGAGATAATTTATGTAAAATGCTTAGCACGTTACCTGGCACAGAATAGTAGCCAGATCAATATTTACTATTAATAATCACACAGAGCCTCCCAGCATCCTGAAGGCATGAATCCCTTCTTGGCATCCAAATAATATTAGCCACCACTGGTTAGAGAAGCATTCATTCACGGCCACTTAAGTTTATTCTCTCTTTACCTGCTTGTAACCTTTTATTTCTCAGGATTGTTGTTTATGGGGGAGGGTCTTGACCACTCATTTTGCAGTGCCATATTTACTTAGGAGGTTTTTGGATTTTTTTTTTCAATTCAATTCAACAAACTTTGATCAGCTACCTATGTGTCAGGCCTAGTGCTAGGTCCTAGTTATAAAAAGAAAAACAAAGACCAGCTCCGCCCTGTGGAGGTTTACGTGTAACAACCCAGCCTGTAAACGTGTGACCACAGCCCAGGTAATGGGAGAAGAGCCACCCAGAAAGGTTTCCTGTAAGAGGCCTTCTGAGGCAGTCTCCGGATTCTGAGGTGAATGACAAGTGCCTTCTACCCTGAGGGATCAGCTTGTGCAAAGAGGCAGAGAGGTGGAGACTGCCTGGGTCAGGCAGCAGCAACTAGGCCAACTGGTGGAATGGAGAGTGCGTAGGCATTTGTGTGAAATACGTTTGGAAAGGTAGGTTGGAGGCAATTTGTGAAGACCTTTAAATGCCAAGCTGAAGAACTTTGTATTGTCTCTTAATAGGGAGCCACTGAAGGTTTTTGAGCAGGGAAATGACATGGTAAGATTTAGAGGGAAGGGAAGAGATAGTTCATTGATTCTAGAGCTGAAGGGACCTTAGAGATCATCTAATCCACTGCCCTCATTTTGCAGACGTAGATTTTGAGGGCAGAAGAACTAAACAACAAGCCAAGTAGGGGAGTGAGGTGCAAACTCAGGCTGTCTGACTCCGAATTCAGTTCTCTTCTTGCCCTATACCACACTCTTTTTTCAGATGGTTTGCTGCTGGGAAATCAATAAGGGAAGTTAATCAGTTCATTGGAATGTTTGGAAAATAAAATATATACAAATAAATTTTAGGGTGTTAAGAAAGCCTTGAGAGAACTATTTTCTTCCTACATTTTGTAAAACACCTGTTACTTATACTGTTTAGAACTCTGTTAGCACAGCATTCTCTTTTGATTTCACTTCCTTGTTCTCCTGGTGAAAGAAAGCAGAATATATGTCATCTTGTTTTGTTTTGTTTTTTCCTGAGCACTGAAGTATGAAGAGTAGCAAATATGTTGTCCAGAAAATGACTGTAACCTCAGGGTGATGCTGATAATTTGTTTTTGGTTTTCTGTGAAACTTTGTCAAATCATAAAAGCCAAAGGGAACTTGTATTGAATAATTTTTCCCCTTCTCACCATCTCTAATGTCTGTACAGGTCTTCACAAACTTCAACTCTCAAACAATGCAAGAGACTCAGAAACAACCAAACCTTCTGCAAATGGGCATCAGAAATCACTGTGAGAGACACAATCAATAATCTTTTACAGTCAGAAGAACTGAAAATTCCGACCTCATGACATTCCTGTCACTATCATCAGAATATTTTTTGTACTAATTTTTGGTTCCTGTTTTGAACTCCAGCTTGTAAATGTCATTTTGCACACTGTACTTGTGAGAACCTGGTTACTTCAGATTCTACTTTTTCTAGTCTGACTTTTTGATCTACTCTGTACTTACATGTTAATACAGATTCCTTGAAGACTGGAACCTGAGAAGAACATGCGATTCCTTTTCTGCAGACAGAGTATGTTACATCAATAGAAGTAACATCCTCATTACCATATTTAGGAAAATTCTGTCTTTGCCTAATGTGAAAATGTACCAAAAAACAGGTTTTGAGATATTTAACAGATTCATTTAAAGTCCATCACAAACTGGACCAAAAGTTATATAAACATTAGTAGAAGGTGTTCTTGAAAGTAAGTGAAGATCTCACCCAAAATGCAGTTTTTAAATGCTTGTGAATATTATTGTAATGTAAACTACATTAGAACTAGTGATTAGCATTCCAGAGTAATATTTGGAAATGACTTTTTAAAGTTTCCTCTAGGTTTAGTTTTAAATAATAGGAGCTTTAGCTTCTGGTAATTGTTACAGACGATGTGGATCAGCTGATGAGCCCAAGGGACAAATATTAACTTCCTTCTTTAACCTGAGCCTCGTGTGTTTGGTAGAGAGCCACAGAAATGTCTTATGTTTCGCATTAGAGAAAGCTATGGTAAAGTATTATGTAGTCACATTTGCTCTATAAAATTGTGTCTATTCTAGTCAACATTACCTCCTATAACAGTGGCCAGTGTGGGAATCCCACTTGTAATTTTGATTTTACCTTATGGCCTCCAAGTACCCTTGGTTTTCTTGGCCTTTAGGTAAGGTAAAATCATTTCCCTGTTCTTATGTGGCCTGACAACTGATCAAAATATAAGTACTTGGTGAAATAAGCCACCTATATCACTTTTTTAGTCCTTAAGTTATTGTTTCATATACTAATAACTTAAATGTCAGGCTTAAAAAATTTTAAATCTTGCATCCACAATCCATGCAGAAACAGACTTGACAGAAGAAAAGTTTTGCAGTGCAGTGTGATCTAAGTAATGATTTTTTAAATTATCTATTTCTATCAGATGATTTTGCTGACTCTAATGCCACTGATTAAAAAATAGAAAATCCTATTCAACATTATCATATGTGGGTAAAATGCCCAGAGTTCTGCATGTAAAATGTATAATATGGATACATTTGCACACAATTCATATATATGCAATTTATATATACAGACATGCACTATGTGTATGGGAATAGATTGTCTGTGTTCAGACATGCTTACTAAAATGTTTGTTTTTCACATTGCTGAACTTAAGGAAGTGTGTGAGTGTGAGTGGTTATGTCTGTGTGTGTCTGTGTCTGTGTCTGTGTCTGTGTGTGTGTGTGTGTGTGTTTCCATAAAACTGGAATGTGTATATTTGGCATTTGAAACTTTGCTTTTATTTAGAACCCAATGATGAGAAAATGACTTTAACTTTGTAAGACTCTTCTGTTCTGTGCAGCCTGCTACTGTTCTGTTTTCACTTCCCTTCACAAAGATCCAAAGCCTGTCAAAGATATACAATATAGATTTAAAGAAAAAAGAAAGAAAGAACACTCAGTGTTTCTAAACACCACAAGAATCCAGGACTAGTGAATGTCCTGAAGCAGTCTCATTTGAATGGAAATAGTACCATGAATATTAAGTACATAGGTAATTAATAAAGATCAGCTGCCTTGCTACTGCTTTCTTATTTCACTATTAATAATAATTTAAGCATCAGTTATGTGCAATGCATTGTATAGGAGATTGGATTACAGTCCCTGACTGAAGGATTTATGAACTGGATTTAACAGATAAGATCAGATTAAGGCTATAAGAGGGAAATAGACTCAGAAGCCTAGATGATTATGTTGTCTGGTCATTAGAAGTGTCTGTGTAGCATTTTAGATTTGCATTCTACACTCAAAGGAAGAGAGAGCTCTGGGGTATGGGCTTGCTGTCAAAAAAGTGGTGAGTAAATTAAATTATCTTTTGAGGAATTGTTTCTATTTGTAAGCTTTTGGAATGTATAGAGATTTTTATTTCCAAAATTGATATGAGCAAGAAGCAAGTGATACACAGTATGAAAAGATAAATTTTTCTTTCTTATTTTCATCATTTTTTAGTTTTTCAGTGCTTTTCAGAAGTGATGATGGTGATTGTGATGAGCACAAATCATTAAATGATTCGCAGCTTACTACATAATCACAATAGATTTAGATCCTAAAAAAAACCCCTATATTTCTGATAATCTGTTTTTCAAATTGCTTCTGAGACATTTGTTTTTAAAGCTCTTCCACTTGAGCCCTTCCCTCTCCCCACCATGTTGTGTTTTTGTTTTTTTTTTTGCACTGAAGGTCCATGGCAGGAGGGATAACAAAACAACTTTCGGTTCTGTTACTAGTGAGAGTCTCCATCACAGTCTTCCTCTTTTCAGTTGTCCGTTAGTGGAAGAGGAGAGGTATTGTTCCAGAAAAGAGGCCCAAATGTTAATAATTACTTCCATTTTTCATTTCCATTTAGATAGGCATTGATACAAGAGACTATACTAAGTCTAGTGATTGCTTTATCAAGCCATATCTGTTTAATGGAATGTTAGAAGCTCTAGTCACAAAGGTTTCTTGGATTAGCACACTTAAGTGGGAGAAAGATACCTTAAATAGCACTGAGAGGAGGCAGTGTGATATGCTGGATCATTCTTAATTGGTTCTTCACTATTTTTAATAAATTGCTTAAGGCATTTGAACCAATTTCTCCTGCTTTATCATGTTACCCAAATTTGAAATCAATTTAGCAGCTTAATGTACATTCTGTATACAAATAAACTTTTCTATGTACAAAACTCTCTTCAGAGCTAAGTGTGAAAGCAATTCATGTATATTTCATTAAAACATCCTTTGAACTGCCGTAAATTACTGCTGGGTATAGATGGTGTGTTCTTAATTGTTTGGATTCTTGAGCTGCATTAAAGGTGCTTCTATTGCTGATCTTGGTGACATCGACATCTGCCTCATTTGTGGTGAGTGATACATAGATAGCCTTCTTCCTCTCTTGCCCCGGTGTCATTGTACCCATAAACTGTGACCAAAATGGTATGTGGCTTCTTTATTGCTGTTAGCACAATGGCAGGAGTCTTGTAATATGATCTTTTTCATTTTGTTTTGTTTGAAAAATATAAGTACATGGACAGTATTGACTTTTTAAACTTTTAAACTAAAATCACACTGTTGTGATGTTACTTTACAAATTTTCGAACTCACTGGTAAATGATTCTTGTTTATAGATTGTACTGTGATGTTTTATCTTTTGGTCATGTTTGTTCCTCTGAGATACTTTTGAGTGTGATTGTTTTAAAATGTCTTAGAAATTAAAGAGTTTTACAAAAAGTCATTTCATATTTCGGTTTGGAAGTACTGAAGAAAATTTTTTAAAAATCTTAAATACAACCGTTGGAAAAGTTTAAATGCATTACAGGTTATTTTGATTTGTATCATGTAATGATGAGTCCTCTCTTTTGTTGTTGTTCAGTCATCTCAGTTGTGTCTGACTCTTCATGACCTCATTTGGAGTTTTCTTGGCAAAGATAGTGGTTTGTCATTTCCTTCTCCAGTTCATTTTACAGATGAGGAAACTGAGGCAAACAGGGTTAAGTGACTTGCCCAGGGTCATACACGAAAATACTCATCTTCCTGATTAGGAAATAGGTACTTCCTGATTCTAGGCCTGGCATTCTATTCCCCAACCCAGTCTTCCCCTCCCCCACCTCAGTCATCTCTACTAACTAGGAAGGTAAACTATCTCTACCACTGACCCCTCTTTGAAGAGGAGGGAAATAAATTATGTTCCTCAAATTTCAACCATCATAATTAATTAAGGATATGTATCAATCTTAGACAATTATACTGTAACTAACTTAACATAGTTACTACTAACTTAAGCTTAACTAACTTAAATATAGTTACTCCAAAAGGCTTAGCAATCTATAGCTCAGATTAATTAAGAGCTCCTAGAGAAGTAAGGAGAGTCAACCTTTGATCACCCTAATGGACAGAACAAATAATTCAAATTAGTAAATACTTTCAAAATAATTTATTTTTAGAAATCAGATAAAATTATTATTACAGGCAAAATCCTCTTGCTAAAAATGTAAATCTGTGAGCCTGTCTACATTGACATTAAAAATCTCCATTAACCAGGATATTAGAATAGACTCATGATCCATTCAGTTTAGGAGTCTATGTCTGATAGTAGCACTGATAGACATTTTAGAAGCAAGGATGATTGTCCTCCATGACTTCACAATCAAAAGATTAGGGGAGTACCCAAATAGTCCCAGCTTCTTTTAATCATTTTGGAATTATCTTCTGTTTTTTTAAACCTTTCTTGAACTTATTCACGTCTAATCTGTACTAGCTTAGATCAGTGAGGTCCATAAGTTTACTATACATTATATGAGGTAATATGCCCCAGATTAAATCTCTCATGATTGAAAAGGTGCCCCATAGTTCTATATGCCAAGATGATGGAAAAAAATGTTGGCACTTAATAGCAACTTCTCTTCCTTCCCCTTTTTGGTTCTAGTCTTGAGTTTTCTAATTCATTATTTCCTCCTTTGGATACAGTGTTCAGAACTTGGTATAGATGTTCTCTCTCTTTCTCTCTAGAGTATATATGGTGTGTGTATATTCTTTATACATATATGTATTTATATATGCACATAGAGTATTTGTATCCTTGCAACCTTAATACAGCTGGTCTCTTCACTATATCTAGTAAATGTAGGTACATAGATATTAGGGGCAGCTAGGTGATACAGTGAATAGAGTGCCAGGCCTGGAGTCAGGAAGACCTAAGTTAAAATCTGGCCTCAGACACTTCCTAGCTGTGTCATCCTGGGCAAGTCACTTAACCCTCTTTGCCTCAGTTTCCTCATCTGTAAAATGAGCTGGAGAAGAAAATGACAAGCCATTCCAATATCTTTGCCAAGAAAACCCCAAATGGGGTCATGATGAGTTGGACATGACTGAAAATGACTGAACAATAACAACATAAATATTAGTATGACTACAGAATATTAAGACTGATTTTTGCATGTGGATTATAGAAATACACATGTATATGTTTACTCTGTATGTGGAAACTTACCTATTTGTATATAAAGAGTTCCTTTGAGCTGGAAGGATCTTTGTAACTTTGGTTAAGTGAATTATTCTCCCTGGGCTTGTTTCCTCATACACGTACTGATGGCTTTGGACTAGAAAAGGATCTCCAAGGTCTCTTCCTCCTCTAAAATGCTGTGAGCCTTCCCCATAGGTGCACATCATCTATGGCCCCCACATAGCCAGCCAAAGTACCAACAACATTTAAAAAAATGGTTTACAAATAATTGCAAATATACAAAAATCTTACTTGAGCTAAGCAAGCTAATGAGAATAACTTCATGAGAAATTGGGGCTTGAGGAACTTTGATGACTGTGAGAAGCACTGAATATAGAACTGATTTCTGGAGGGGTATGTTCTTTTGCTTAGAGCTGTGGACCCTGCTGGTTCAGAATGACCCTAATTGGCTCGCTGTGTTTTGGCAGGGTCCATCAGGTCAATCAAACTGAATCTAAAAGGAACTTGGTTGTGAATGATAAATGTATATAAATGTGAAGAAAATAACCTATGTATGGATGACATGGCCAAAGTCTTATCAATTGAATATGTCCATCAGAGATTTGCAAGTTGTGCCTGTGTTAGTAATATTTTTTTCCCTTTCATGATTTGTCTAATTCATAGTTCTAATTTGTAGTTATAAAGCATTATAAAGATAATCACAAGATAAAAATTGACCACTGTAGGCATTTTAACGGTTATAAAATAACCTTTTTATCTTGATAGTGTTTTCTTTGTGCATATGGGGATAGGAGGAACAAGGCAGGGAATAATTGAAACAAATTCTTTAAAAACCAGTCAGTCATTATTTGCCCAATATTTAGCCCAGTCAAGAAATTTTTAGAAGTGAGTTCCCTTGTCGGTAATTATTTATTGAAATTGCTTTATTTATACTAAATCTCCAGAATGCATCATTACTTAAATTATGATGTTACGTAACCTGGGTTGAAGCTGTCAGAACAAAAAACCTGGAACAATCAAGAAAACATATTTTTGAGTTTTACTATTGTATCTTCTTTGATATTTAAGACAATCATATGTATACACATACACTTAAGTACATGTGTGTGTATATTTATATACATATACATACATACACATATACATGTTAAACTTATAAGCTAATTTTAGCTTTCTTTTATGGCTTTGTCCATAAAATAGATAAAATTTCAAAAGGCAAG